CACACACACACACACACACACACACAAACTTCCATCACTCCTGAATATACAAGCTAAAAGCTAACATTAATTATTTATATCTCAAGTACTTTAGGTTTCAGTCAAGCTTCCCATAAGTCATATTTCACTTACCAAAATCAATATCAAGCAGTGCTGCATTTGCACCTTCTACCAAGATTTTCTTTGGTGGTCCATGTAGGGCCTCATATAGGAAATAAACACCATCTCTCACCATTGGTTTAATTCTCTCCATATAGCCCTAGACACAAAGACAAAAATCCAGTTTCAATGTATGCTGATAAATCTACAATATAATCAGTCCAAGTATAAATTACCTGACTTATGACACTGAACACTGAAAAATGCAGTACAAAGGAGATGGTGCTGGTGCTCCCCCTATTGCAACATTTGGATTAGCTTTGTTCTCTCAGGCTGATTCTCCAGGACCAGAAAAGAGACACCAGCTTAAGAAAAATAGAGACACAATGGAACCCAAAGGTTCTAAATTAACCTCACTGCAAAGACCTAATAATACTTAAACTTCACAAACAATCTTTCAGACTAAAAAGTTGCATTTATAATCCATATGGCCATGAATTCTGAATCTTGTATCAAAATGATTCTCAAAATGTGGTGATAGCCCACAAGCTACACTGCCAAGCATGCAAATATTCAATAATTAATTGCTAATATTCTTTTCCCTTTGTATTCACAATTACCATAAAATATCTCAGTGGTATTATTAGTAAACATAAAATATGGTTTTAAATGTTAACATTATAAATGTTCTCAAAAAATTTTAAAGTACTACTAATACCACCTAATTTTATAATTCAGCTAAAAATCTAATACAAACAAGAGCTTCTCTATAGTAGAACCACAACAAAATTCTAGTTTCAACTATGTTTAAATATGGAAATCCCAAGATTAACTCATGAATTATACACACTGATAGATAAATGGTTCCCCCTTGGCTCCAGTCTCTGATCTCTTATTTCCTTTTTCATGCCTGAAATGACTACTCCATTCATCATATTCCCTGTCCCTTAATGGCAGCCCAACATATTATCACCTGTAAGAATCTTCTGACCCATCTGTGCATTATTCTTCATCTACTTCACATGGAACATTTATAAGGTCATATCCATACTTTAGTATATAAATATTTCCAAGTTGCTGGTAATAAATTTAATGTATTTCTTGCATGACAGAATGGAGAAAAGAAAAATAAGTCTATTTTAAGTAAAAATCAATATACTGAAGTAACATTTGTAATGTCTCTTGAAGTTCACTGTATCAGGAATTTGGTGAGTGAACAGACCTGAGGTCTAGGACCACTGCAGAATGGCATATGAGGTTTGCAGACTCCTATTCAGTTCTGGAATCAGATGTTGATATTTATAGAAGAGAAGGAGTAATAATCAGATATGCAGAAAGCAGGTTGAAATTCACTAAAGATTGTGGGGAAATGGAAGGGTGGGCAGAATGAGAGACTTGACCACTGACTGATTCAGGTGCTACAGACATGTTAATAGTTGCCAACTGTGGACCTAATCTTTGGCCCCTAATGTATTTGTCTCTAAAGATAACACCATAAAAGTGGTTGATCCTATATGGCACCATTCCTAAATGGGCTTGTTGACTTTAAAGTTATCTTTTACTCATCCCTTTGCTGGGGAATCCTCCAAATTTTTACACAAATCTAGTCTTTCTGTTCAAAATTATTTAATGGTTTTTCATTATCTCCAGGATGAAAGCTAAACTCCCTATCACTGCAGATGAGACCCATGATCTGCTCCCTGTCTGTCTAATTTTATCTTCAGGTACTAGTCCTGCTCCTTGCTTCCCACCCAATATTTTGTTTAAGCCATATTATATGAAGTTATTCAAATATGCCATGTTTTTCAGGTCTACATACTTTCAGATTTAAAAAAGGACAAACAATCCCCTTTACCAGTTCTTATCTATAATACTTAACACATATCTGTTGTAGTATTTTTTAATACTACAAAGCAAAACCTGTCATGTCGAATTCTGACTCACAGTGACTCCACAGGACAGAGTAGAACTGCCCTGTAGGGTTTCCAAGGCTGTAAAACTTTACAGAAGCAGATTGTCTCATCTTTCTCTTGCACAGTTGCTGGTTCAAACCACTGATCCTTTGGTTAGCAGTTGAGTACTTAACCACTGTGCCATGAGAGATCCTACTTTTAATACTATAATATCTACTTTATGTGTTTCTCCTCAGCTACAATGTAATTTTCATTTTATTTTCAGTTCCTCACATAAACCCTGAATAAATGAGATCTAGATTCCAATTTGGTAAACAAATGTTAAAAACGACATGAAAAATGTCAGAAAACATTACCTTGAGTTTTTGTAATTCACCTTCAATGTCTATTTCCAAAGTAGGATATATAGATTTGTACTGATTAGCCAGAACTTTGAACCTGAGAAATACATAAAATTAAGACATTAATTCTGCTTAAAATTATCACTCTGAAAAATATCACTGGATTCACATGACTTCTGTACATGATAAATGGTCTTAATAGCAAGCTAATCCTCAAATTGAAGTTACTTTCTGAAAAATGAAATCAGAAGTAAAATTTAATAAATGAGATGAGCCATCTGAATAAACGATAAAGCCCCAATTTTTTTTACTTAAGTTTGGAAATACCAACAACACAATTATAATTAAGGTGATATGTGTGTATGTATGTGGGGTGGTGACAAATATTTGATTGTAATTAAAAGAACTAAAATCTAAATTAATTATACTGTGTGAAAAACAGTCTACATGACATTAGCAACTTGTCTCTAATATTTTTCAGTGGCAGTGTCTTGTCAGTGCAAACATAAATAGCTGACTAAAGATGGAAAAATCAAATACTTGTAGCTTTGACACCAATTGTCATTAAATGCAATCAGCTAACTCCCCATCACTGACTGACTGTATGGCTTTCTGGTGATTGTCAGGTTTCTTACAGAGATTTGTTAATGTGGCATTTCTATTTTTCAAGGTGAGCTTGGTACAGAAGAACTCACCAGTACCTAAAGCTAATTAATTTCTGGGTGGGAGGATATAATGGAGTCTCTAGACTTGAAAATCTAAAGGATCAAGACCCTAGAAAGTGGTGACTCTACCAAACGACTGTGCCATACACCCCTGGCAACACCTGTTTCTCAACAAACCATTCCAAATTCCAAGCGTAAATATAATTCCAGCTTTGTCTTCTTGAGGTACTGTTATTTTATCACCATCATGAGACTTCTCATGAAGTGAATTGGAAATTAAGGACCTATTAGATGTAATAGAAATAATTTTAATATTTCAAATGAAAGGAAAAAAAAGCTAACTCCATTATTAAGCTAGAGTACTGATTTTCCCAACTGCATATAGGTTTTTTTAAAATTCTGAAATCCATTCCCTTTTTCCATTTTGAAACACAAGTTAATTACCTCTCAGAGAAGCCATCAAAGTCAGAAACAAGATCACACATCCTAAGTCCACTCCGAGCAGCTTTGGAAGAATACACCGGGCCAATGCCCTTTTTAGTGGTACCCAAACTTAAAGACAAATCAAAACAAGCTTTAAGTCACACAAGAAAGATGCAGTTTTTATAGTTATATCATCACAAAGAATGAAGTTATATATGACTAGTTTTTGTTTATGCTACTTCCTTTTTTAAAAAAAACAATCCTATTAATTTTCTCTGAAGCCTAAAAAGAATATTCTAATACTTTATCTTAAATGTATGGCCTAGAAGTTAAAAATAAGGGTCTAGATATACTTAAACCATATAAAAATATCATACTTTTTTCCAGCTTGTTCTTGTCTCTGTTGTTCTTGGATACCATCAGCTGCTTGATGAAAATCAAATACTGAGCGGGGGGGAAAAAAAAATCCAAGTTTGTTGTTGAAACAAAGTGATACAAGAAAGCAAAATATATTGTATTTTAAATTACTGAAGTTATAAATCCTTTCAGTCTCATTTCATTATGACAAATTAAATGGATAAATTATTTGAAATAACAGTAATAGGGAGGTGAGGAACAGTTATCATTCAGATGGGGTGATGGTTATAATGCCAATCGGACACTAATATTGAAATATGCCTATACTATTAATTAAGAGTCATTAAGAACATCTTACCCTTAAATTCTATAAAGCTCAGTTTACAAAACATCCATTTTTCTTCAGACTTTAGATTCTAGAAATCTAGGATTGATATTGATACTGACTTCTTCACTAGTCCTAAGCCATCGTCATTTCTCACTAAAACTATAGCCTCTTTCTACTCTTGGGTCCTTTTAATCCAAACTCTTTAATGCTATGTTGTTGTTATTTGCCGTCGAGTTGGCCCCGACTCGTAGCGACCCCTCCTTGGGTTTCCGAGGCAGTATCACTACAGAAGTAGGATTGCCCAACCTTCCTTCTGAGGAGTGGCTGGTGGGTTTGAACGGCCAGCCTTCTGGTTAGCAGTCAAGTGCCTTAGGCACTATGCTACCAGAGCTCCTAAAACCTTGTAAGTACTCTTCCCTAATTCTCCCCCATAACTTTGTATGATCAATAGGCTGCTCTACCGGTTACAGGATGGGAATTTTACAGGTGTTACATTAGTTAGTGACATCACAGAAGCTAAATTTTTATTGGGTGATTTAACAGTATTTTGCAAATCATTTACCTATTTCAGTGTCACAAAACTAGGTTGCCGCAGCATCCTTAAAACAGGCATATTGTATACCAAAAAACATCTACAAGAATGTTCAGAGCAGTATTATCTGTAATAGCCCAGTACTGGAATTTCTATCAATAGTAGAAGAAATAAATAAATTATGGTATATTCACCAAATGGAGTATTATACAGCAATGAAAAAGAATAAATATTGCTTCATGGAACAGCTTACATATGTAATGCTGGATGGAAAGCAGCTACAGAAGAGTACATGATGCATGATTTTCTATAATTTCAAAAACAGACAAAACTAATCTATGGCAAGAGAACTAAGAATAGTGGTTACCTTTGGTGAAAGGGGTATGGGATGATAATGACTAGGAAAGGCCATTAGAGTGCCTTTTCAGGGTACTAGAAAGGTTCTATATTTTAAGGTACAAGGTGATTACGCAGGTAAAATACATGTGTATACTTTTTGTGTACACTGTACTGTGCTGTACTAAGTAAAGATGTTTACTTTTGACTAACACATGGATTCTTGACCTTGATCAATAAATAGCTATCACATGATACAGGCATTAGTTTATTATTGTGCTCATATTTTGATGCTCAGCCAATAGCTTTTCTCACCACTTTTGAAGGACCAGAATAAATTTCTGAGCAGCTGTTTCACTGAACCTTAACTTTGTAAATTGGTTATGACAAGATTGAGAACCTTGAGTGAGCCCCTTCTTTAAACAAAAAAAGTATGTATATTTAAATATTTGTTTTCTGTCCTATATTCAAGTAAGTTATGAGGAACTGGCAAGTTATAATAAATGGTGCATGGAAAACAAGTGAACCATATTTTTAATAAATTAGTTTTGTACCTTGTCACATAGCTCATACTGTTCTTAAGGTTTTCCTAGGCCTCAGGAAGTTATTAGTGTAATCATACTAATTACTTTCATAAGGCTTTATCATGGCATGGAGCCCTAACAGCTCTAATATTAAGATAAAGAATGGTCTTTGTCTGAAGTTGCTTTAAGTTATCTCTTCCATTTTCTGCAACTTAAACATTGAAAACAAACTTAAAAGTGTCAGCACAGGGTTTCAGTTTAATTTTTAAAATGAAAGATAATTGTGCACTTTCAATGGTTTATGTTTTTATTAACACTATTAAAGTTAAAATGTAATCAGTGTGATGAAGTAACCCTTTTATTATTATACATAATGTAATTACATGTTTTATCTACACACATAATACCCACTTTGCTTGCTTTCTTACCTCCTTCAGTCTTTACTCAAATGTCATCTTCTCAGTGACACATTCTCTGGCCACTATCTAAAACTGTGGGTCCCCGTGTCCTCCTCTATCTGCCTAACAGTACCTGGGGCTCCTTTTAATGCTTTATTTTTTTCTCCCCAGAACTTATCACTATATGCCATGCAGTATTTATCTCATTCACTGTATTTCCTTACTACACTGTAAGCTCCACAAAGGCAGGGAATTTTCCTTGTTTTTTCTACTACTGAGTGTCCAATATCGTATCTGACACAGAGTAGGCATTCAACATAGTTGTTGAATGACGGACAGACATGTAACAAACCTGGATTTCAAAGGTTTAAAATATTTTAAATCGTCTAAACATTTCTCAGGCCTCTTTCCCTCAACAGGCACCTATTGTATAGGCCCTTGTGCAATTGCTTTAGCATTGTGACACAAAGAATTGGCTAGCTACTTCCTTATTTTTACATTTCTTGCAAAGACAATTAACTATTTAAAGCAAAATACTAACAATGTATTGTGGAGTTTATAATATAATGTAGCAGTGAAATGTATGAAATAGCACAAAGGACAGGACAAGGGAAATGGAAGAATTTCATTGCAAAAACCCTATATGATAGGTGAAATATAAAAAAGAGGGGGGATCAGGTTTGCTGGTCCAATAGAGCCTGATGGAACCACTGAGACTATGGCCCCTAACTGCCCTTCAGGTCTGGAATTGAACCCACACCTGTGGTTTCCAGCCAAACAAAAGACAGGCATATGAGCTGAACACTTACCTGAGGTAGATACACTCCTTGGAGAGAACAATCATGAGAGAGAGAAGGGCTGCTTATGCACAGGGAAACAGCTCAGAGGGCAAGAGTGTATGGAGGATGGACACTGGGAAGAGGTAACTATCAGGAGGAAGTGGGAGGGAAACCATTGCATTGTGGTAAACTGTGGTCAATGTCATGAGACAAAGTATATGTGAACTGCTGTAGGGAAAGTAAATTTGCTTTGTAAATCTTTACCCAAATCACAATACAAAAAAAAAAAAAAGGTGAAATATGCTATTATTTGAAGTTAGACCATGGTAAGTTAAAGATGTATGTTATAAACTCTAGAGCAACTACTAATATTAATAAAGCAAGAAGTACAGCCAATAAGCTAATATTGGAGAGAACATAAAAATATTCAAAAGAAAGCAGGCAAAAAGAGAAACAAAAATAGATAGAACAAATAGAAAACAAAGAGCAGATATAAACTTAACCTTAATAATAATTAACTACATTAAAATAGTCTAAACCTTCCAATTCAATGGCATATATTCTGGGTAAAACAGCAAGACTATATCTTGTCTATAAGAAATGCATTATATAAAGACAGCTTATTAGAGGATGGAAAATGATAAACCATGCAAATACCAAAAAAACTCTAGTAACTATTATTAAATCAAAGTAGATATCAGGATAAGGAATATTACCACAAATATAAAAAGGGACATTTCATAATGATAAAAGAACTAATTCACCTAAAACGTAATCATTTAAAATATGCATACACCTAACAGAGCTTCAAAGCATACAAGACAAAAACAGACAGACTTGAAAAATGAAAAAGCTAATCCCCCCAAAAAAAAGAAAAATGTAAATGTCCCTATATTTACTAGAGAAATAAATTCAAACTGAAAACATTCCTACAAAGATTCTATCAAAAATTTAATGAAGAAATAATGCCACTCCTATACATAAGCCATAAAATAGAGTAATACTTCCAGATAAAGCAGCACAACTAAAGAAAACCGCAGACCAATACCTCCTTGGATAAAGGTAACACATCTTGACCAAGTGGGATAGGACACTTGAGTCTTAAGTGTATATATGAATAAAACTTGTAAAATTCTTTTCCTCATGGATACAACCTTGTTTTACTGATGAAGGGAACCAATGCTCATAATTGACTGTATTAAAGATAATGCAATATTTCTTACAGATTTTTTAATAATATATATTTTAATGAACACATATTACTACTAACATCTAAATTTCAGTCTGAGAGCATATCCTGTCTGGGCTCAGTTGTCTTCTACCAGAATACTTTTCTTTAATAACATGCATTTATGGAAAAGGAAAACTCTTTAAAAATATAAAAACTAATTCACAATTGTTATGGTTTAAGCAACATTAATTACTTTCCTGTTACTTAGCTGGTCCTTTGACCCCTCTGTATGACTTCTTGTTTTTTGTAGTTCAAAGCAGTTAAATAACTTGCTTAACCACTGCGCTATACCCAAATATGCAAATTGTCAAGTGACAGACCCAAAGCATTTGTAATGCATGGTGGAAACCCAGGCTAGAACCCAGTTATATCTTTGTACTATGTCATACTTTTTTAACAGACTGATATCATCTGCATGTTTCTATCTACACATAGTCAAAATAATTATCAGATTATGTACATTGAAATTATGTTACTCAAAGGATAGGAATTAGGTATTATCCATATTTTGAAATCTTCAATTATGGAACTTTGAATAAAATATCAAATTTCACATAGCACAGAAACAACTATTGGAAAGTTCCATAGACAAGGGGTACCTTTCATCATCTAACAATTCAGTGCCTTACTTTATCTATAAGACAGGGACAATGAATAACAAAAGACTATACAAAAATAACTATGAAAAGGAGAGAAGTTAAAGATGGCTCATGGTAACAGAATAAAATTTGTATAAGGTTAATGACCAGTGCATGTAAGTGGACAAAAATAGTACAAAAGTACTTCACACTAACGTAATTATTTTTCATTATATATCTAGGAGAAGAGCTTTGGTGGTGTAGTGCCTAAGGCATTTGACTGCTAACCAGAAGGCTAGCGGCTCAAACCCACCAGCCACTCTTCAGAAGGAAGACTGAGAGATTTACTTCCTTAATAATACCGTCTTAGAAACCCAAGGA